AGTTTCACAATTTGAGTTGAATTACTGAAATGAACTTTTCCACGACATTCTAATTTATTGAGATGCACATATATATTAGGGCTGTCAAAATTAACGCGTTAACGCAGCCTCATTTTAACGGCACTGATTTTATTAACGCAGCGCGCATTTTCTGTTTGACCCGTTGCCTGGCCTGTAGTTGGAGAAATGGAGATGCACAGTGTTGCCAACTTGGCCACTTTTCAGTTTTCCCAAAAACGTACCTAGCGACAAATCTAGCAGCTTCTTGGACAAAACTTATTTAGTTTCTGAGACTCGCTGGTACTGCCACGCGAGGTTTTGCGTCCGATCTGTTCAGCGAGCGGCTGAGAGGAGCAGCACTTTTAGTTAAAACAGATATTCTGTTGCTTCTCTAATTTTACATGCAAGTATAGCCGAAATCATAGCACAGCTATTGTCTTTATCTTATGTGTATTTGATTTCATCAGACGACGGCTTGTTTATAAATCAGGATTTTTGTGCAGATTAACATCTTGGAAGGAAGAGCTGGTTATGTGGTCTTAATAGGTCGTGTTTCAGTCACTGTTTCAGATTCATTTTGTTGTCTGACAACAGAAACAGTAAATATATCAATGAAAACAGTTTTATTGAATTTAGCTGCATCAAAATTCATCCAAAAAACACAGTATGTGGGCACAGAGAGGCAAACAAATGTAATAATAAATAATAAATGTACAGCATGTTCAGAAGAAGTGAGCTGCCCTCTCCTGCCAATAGTGTAAACAGGCTTGTGTAAGTAAATTGCTCAGTGCAAAGAAAGAGAAGTAATGGGAAACTGGTATTTCATTCTTTTTTCACGTGTCTAATAGACATGAACAAGTTCTTTGAAAAACATCTATGACCTTTGAAACATGTCTAGTCTTCATGCTCTGTTGAGTATGGTTTCACTAATAATAAACATACGTACATCTGCATAAAGCATCCATATTTGTCCATTGCCATGTTGATTAGAGTATTAAAAACTTGAAAAGTATTAATTTAAGGTACATTTAGAACAGATAAAAATGTGCGTTTAAGTTGCGATTAATCACAAGTTAACTCATGACAATCGTGATTAATCACATTCTGTGGTATTTCTAGGCTGCTAACCAAATAATCCCTATAAATGCTGATGTTTTTGAAGCAAAAGAAAACAAACTAAATACTGACATGTTTTCAAATTCATGTACATTTTTCATTTCAACTTTTTACTTGAATTGTTTTGCTAAATTTTATTATATATATTTATGTGTATATGTGGTATTTATTTTATAATATTATAATAAATATTGTATTTTTTATTATAATACATACAAATATTTTAATGTTATATATGTATTAGTACTTATTAATAGTATTTATACATGTTGATCCTTATTCTTTTTTTCTTTATAATTATTAATAATAATAATAATAATTATTATTATTATTACTATTATTATTCATTCAGACTAAAGCTCCAATTTAGTATTTTATTTGCTACCAGGAAAGTTTTTTCAAACATTTATCATTTACAGTAGAAAAGTATTTAATACTCCTGAAATATTTGGGGGGGGAATAGTAAGCCCTGATTTGATTTGCTTCCCATAAATTAGACTGATGCTGATAATGAAAATGATGCCAATATTTGTTAACAATTCCGCCTTTGTCTATATACCCATTTCCCCATCTAAATGATCTGTCGTGTGCTCTTGGCAGGGCTTTCTGTCCCAATATAAGGACTTTCATCACTTAGTCTCTCAGTCTGAAGACTGACGTCTCTTTGCAGTGAATGGACTGAATTAAGCAGGAATATTCTAGGCTGTTGGCCGCCGTGATCATGTATAATCCCAGATCACATGCGCTAGGCTGTTTGTTTGCTTGTATACTGGATGCTAGTCATCTGTGTCGATGCTCTCAGGTCCAGAAAAGCCCGATCTTCAGGAGAGACGGCGCTGACATCCACTCTGATGTCCTGGTCTCTGTGGCTCAGGCCATACTGGGCGGCACAGTCCGAGCGCAAGGACTCTACGAGACCGTCAATCTCTCGGTGGGACATTTTGGTGCTGTTATCATGACCATATTGTAATATTAAAGGAACAGTTCAACTAAAATGAAAATTTGCTGAAAATGTACTCGCCCTCAGGCCATCCAAGATGTAGATGAGTTTGTTTCTTCATCAGATTTGGAGAAATGTAGCATTACATCACTTGCTCAGCAATGGATCCTCTGCAGTGAATGGGTGCCGTCAGAATGAGAGTCCAAACAGCTGATAAAAACATCACAATAATCCACACCACTCCAGTTCATCAGTTAATGTCTTGTGAAGAGAAAAAGATTAACAAATACTTCAGTGAAAGCGTGTTTGTACAAAACAAACCCATAATTAAGACCTTTTTAACTTCAAACTGTTGCTTTCGGCTAAAATACAAGTCCTCTATTCATAATATTATTTTCTCCTGTGAAAAAGTCGTCGCATCTGAATCAGGAGAGAAATATGCACACATCAAGCATAGTTTACAAGCAAAAACAATCCAAACCAGTTTAAAACTGGTAATGTTGGTGGGTTTTGATGTGAGACGACGACAGAGGATGGACGTTTTCACTGGAGGAAGCATGTTATGGATTATAGACTCATATTTTGGCCAAAGCAATGGTTGAAACATCTTGATGGGTTTATTTCTTATAAACACGCAGCTTTTTGTTAATTGATGGACTGGAGTGGTGTGGATTACTTGTGGATTACTGATGTTTTTATCAGCTGTTTGGACTCGTTCTGACGGCACCCATTCACCACAGAGCATCCATTGGTGAGCGAGTGATCTAATGCTACATTTCTCCAAATCTGTTCTGATGAAGAAACAAACTCATCTACAGCTTAGATGGCCTGAGGGGGAGTAAGTTTTCAGCAAACTTTCATTTTTTTTAGGGTGAACTACTCCTTAAATCTGGATATTCCTGTGCATTTAAGCACATTTATATAATCAGTGAATGTTCTTGTAGATCCCAGTTGGAGTCCAGGCCGACCAGAGGATTCGGCTCTCTGGTAAAGGTATTCCACGGGTCAGTGGCTACGGTTACGGTGACCACTACGTCCACATCAAGATCAAAATCCCTAAGTAAGATTACACACAAATGATAAAAGGACTTGTTTTGCTGCTGGTAAAGGTTAAAATGGCTGATGCATTCGTATGTCTTCTGTCCAGGATGTTGACAGACCGGCAACGAGCCCTCATGAGGAGTTACGCGGAGGACGAGACCGATGTGGAGGGAAGCGTCAGTGGAGTGACCAGCACCACTGCAGGTACAGGCATCACTGGAGCAGTCGCGTCTACAGTAGAATCTGAGGCGCTGATATTAAAACCAGAACCTGTCTCTGTCCAGGAGGGGGCAGAAATCAAACCAGCACAGGGCACAAACAGAAAGACCAAGGCTTTTTCTCCAAATTAAAGAAAATGTTTAGCTCCTCCTAACAGCCACAAACCAGGTAGGATGATTCGTTTTAAGATAAAACTCCCTGAAATCCATTTTAATGACTAAGAATTGGGGAAACCCTGAGTAAAGCAGCGTTTTTGTGGTTCAGTATCTGGTTTGTGGCTGCTTGTGAATCCGGGGGCTCCATAAAAGTATTCGGACATTTGAAAATCACTTAAAAATATATGAATACATTTTTAGAGAACAAAATGAACAGTAGATTAATGGTATACAATCAGCTCTTTAACGGCATTCAATATCTATTTAAGGGGTTCAAACTGGGGCCCCAAAGGAGTGCTGGGGGGGTCCATGGAAATGTATACAGAAAAAAGTATATGAAATCAAATTAAAAACAAACAAATAATAGTTAAAAAATTAAAATAAAGGCAATAATAAGAAAAATATTAGAAAATAAGTAAATAAACATTGGATTAAAACAAATCATGAATAAGCAAATAAAATGAGTATATATATATATTAAAAATAAATGAGTAAATAAATACAGTACTATAAAAGGGAAAAAAAAAGCAGCGTTTTTGTGGTTCAGTATCTGGTTTGTGGCTGCTTGTGAATCCGGGGGCTCCATAAAAGTATTCGGACATTTGAAAATCACTTAAAAATATATGAATACATTTTTAGAGAACAAAATGAACAGTAGATTAATGGTATACAATCAGCTCTTTAACGGCATTCAATATCTATTTAAGGGGTTCAAACTGGGGCCCCAAAGGAGTGCTGGGGGGGTCCATGGAAATGTATACAGAAAAAAGTATATGAAATCAAATTAAAAACAAACAAATAATAGTTAAAAAATTAAAATAAAGGCAATAATAAGAAAAATATTAGAAAATAAGTAAATAAACATTGGATTAAAACAAATCATGAATAAGCAAATAAAATGAGTATATATATATTAAAAATAAATGAGTAAATAAATACAGTACTATAAAAGGGAAAAACATAATGTAACCTAATAAATTTTGACAATTTTTCAGTGCAAATTGGGTAAAATAGGCATTTTAAATTGTTGGATTGGGATCTCATGCTCACAGATGAACATATTTGGGGGTCTGTGGCATTTAATATTATAAACCCCTGATGCATTTGTTTGTCTTTACAGGTAAAAGATCCACTGGGAATTAGACTTTAGTGGAGATTCAGATTGACTGTAAACCTGATGGACATACAAGAGAAGAGAAGCGAGTCTTCTGTGGACACGTGCAGCATGGAGATCATCTTGACCGCTCCTCAGAAACTACAAACGATGAATGAAGATCTGTGGATGCGTTACTGACTCCAGATCCCTGAGGAATATGATCTACGCACATGTTCAGTGCCAACATCAACCATAGATCTTGTCTTTGGTCTGTAGTTTTTCGTTAAGGTTTTACATAGTCAGGTCTTCAATTTTCTGCTGTTCTGGAGCGATTCACAAACAGATGGGATATCTTTACGTCGGTAACAATTTAATTTCAGAATAATGAAGTCCAATGTTCAAGACCTCACTGAACATTACGTCCTTCTGCTTGATTAGCCGTGTACATAGACAGCTGTTTATATTAAAGCCATTTTAACGGGTTGTTGTAGAGAGAAATATGCAGTAATGAATAAAATCTCTGTGACAACTGTAAATGACTTTTTTGTTGTTGAATATGCTGAATATATGGTGTGTATTTTAACCTTCTGATGCATTATTCACTAAGAAACTCTTTACTTTAAAGCAATGCTACAAAATGTGTTAAATATGAAAAACACAAACTGGTAAATGCTGCTAGTACTTCACTGGGGGGAAAAACAAACAAACTACAGTGTCTTTTAAAATATAATTTTACACTTAATGACAGGTTTAAACTTTATAGCATTTTTAACATTTACAATTACTAACCATAATCATTCTCAATCCTTTTGTCCCTAAATTAAGTGTTTAAAAATGATTCAAATAAAACATGGACAAACACTGAATGCAGTACAGTTGTGAATTTATTACTCATTACATTGAACACTGAGCTGAAGGTGAAAAAAACTCCCAAAAGACCTTTTCTAAACCTTAAAATACAGTATTGAGAAAATGATTAACTACACAAGAAATGTCTAAATAAAAACACTGTACTATATATCAACACCATTCCTTTCAATGTGCTTTAAAAAAAAAAAACAAACTAAAAGCTGTCAGTGACTCGAAATACAAAATGTGCGTAAAACCCAAACACAACCGGTTATGCCAAATACTATCATACATGGCAGTCTATTTTATGATCTGATTAGTAATGCAAAGTAACAATTCCTTTGGTTCAAAAAGTCCAAGTCCAAGGATTTGGTATTACATGAAACCCTCTTCAAGAACAGTATTCATCAGTATAATGATGTGTGTTAGTTCTTATATAAAACTAAATCATATATGCCTCTCTGAGAGAAATACTGTTAGTCAACAAACACATGCCTCAGTAAATGAGGACAGATACACAAACCCCCACAATCCTTTTCAAACGAATCATGTCACAGTGCCTTGGTGAACATTGCACATGTTAGTTAGTGTGTTAATATGTAACAACAAAGGGAACGAAACCGTTAATAAGTCTCCTTTTCATGAAATTATTGCAGCCATAAATGTTAACGCTAACACTTTACATTAGTCAATGTACATGAACGAACAATGAACAATACATTTATTACAGTATTTATTAATCTTTGTTAATGTTATTAATGAAAATAGTTGTTCATTGTTAGTTCGTGTTAATTCACAGTGCATTACCTAATGTTAACAAGCACAACTTTTGATTTTAATAATGCTAATAAATGCGGTTGAAGTATTGTTCATGCTTAGTTCATGTTAACTAAAGTAGTTAACTAATGTTAACTATTATAAAACGGATAGTTCTGGTCCTTGATTCTGATTGGTTGAGCCGCGTTCGAAGCTGTTGTAAATTACTCTACAAACATACACCTTTGTTTACTTTGTGTGTTGCTTGACAGCCACTTTGTTGCAACCACAACTGTTTCTGAGGAACTACATTGTTTGGTGGAAGAATACTGTTTTTATTAATATCATTACACTGTTTGCTCCGTTTTATTTTGTGAAAACTTACTACATATATGGAATAACCGTTTTATAGCCGTGGTTTACAATGAATTTATAACAGCCGAGGGGCGTAAACCACGGCTTCTTGGGGCTTATTGCTTTAATGAACCTTATTGTAAAGTGTCGCCATGTTAATAATTTCGTTATAACAAAGTCAGATCAATGAATCACCTAAAGAAAAATTCTAGCTTGTACAAATACAGTATACTAATTCAGCATTGCTCCCTTGTTTTAATTGCTTTCAAATAATCTAATAATATCGGTTTATTGGTTATATATGCCCTCCAGATATCATTGGCCATTTAAAAACTAATTTCAGGTCAACCACTAGTTAAAACTACGAAAGCTTGTTTCTGCCACTGAATAAAAAATAAAAATGGTAATTGCGAATTTTAATCTCAGAATTCTGACTTTTTTCAGAATTGTGTGATATAAACGTACAATTACGAGTTATAGTCAGAATTGCATGATAGAAACTCACAATTGCAACAATTTGTTCTCAGAACTGTGATTTTATGTCACGCAATTCTGTTGAAATTAAGTCGCAAATTACGATATAAACTCAATTGCGAGAAAAAAATATCAGAATTGCGAGATATAAACTCTCAATTGTCTTTTTTCCCCTCAGAATTGGACTTTATAACTCAATTGCGAGTTTATATCCCGAAATTCTGAGAAAAAAAGCACAATTGCGAGATGTAAATTTGCAATTGTGAGAAAAAAATAATAATTTTATTCAGCGGGCTTCCATAGGAATTTTTGGCTCAGATATCCGTTATCAGTGAAACTAAAATCCAGAAATCTTGTGCTTTAACCGTCTGTGTAGAATAACCCTGAATGCCAGTCTGTGATATATCGTGTAATGAGACAAAAATTACCTTAATGTGCAATTCTTCCATCTTTTACATGCTAAACCTCTTCAAAAAGGCTTTTCTTCATGAACCGTTGTGCCAGTAATTTCCTGACGTGACGTCTCAGTCTGGCCTGCAGAAGTCCTGCTTTTCTTTGTAAATGCTGCATGTATGCATAGCATATCTCATTTGAAAGCAAGCTTGAAAAATGTTATGTTATTTGCATAAACATCCTCTGCACAAGTGCGCAAATGTTTTGCATGTGCCTCCTCCTGCTGTACATGCACATTTATGTTACTTTTGCGATATCCAACCTCAAAGGGGCGATAGAGTTTCCTTTACATGTCTGTCTCATGATTAAACCAAAGAGAAACCGGCTGTAGAAGATGACAATTTGCACTATTGGCCACTATAGCACCCCTTATGGTGACAAATGAAAATGCAAAACATAATTACTATGATGTATGAAATCAAGCTTGCGTAGCCATAAGCATTTGCATTCATGTACTTGCGTAGAGTATGTTTCGGCTCATAAGTTGACTCGATACTGTGATAAAACTATAAAAATAACATTCTGCATATTTCTGCAGTTCTTCTCCAGCCTTAAAGGAATAGTTCACCCTAAAAATGAAAATTTGATGTAGATGAGTTTGTTTCTTCATCAGATTTGGAGAAATGTAGCATTACATCACTTGCTCAACAATGAATCCTCTTCAGTGAATGGGTGCCGTCAGAATGAGCGTCCAAACAGCTGTTAAAAACATCACAGTAATCCACAAGAAATCCACACCACTCCAGTCCATCAGTTACTGTCTTGTAAGAAACAAATCCACCATGAAGACGTTTTTAACTTCAAACCATTACTTCTGGCTAAAATACTGTCCTCTATCCATAATATTGCTTTCGCCAGTGAAAAATTTCGTCTGAATCAATTGAGAAATATGCACAGATCAAGCACCGTTTACAAGCAAAAACAGTCCAAAACCGTTCGAAATAAATATTATGTGAGAGGAAAATGGGATGGATTGTTTTTGTATTTTTATCAACTGTTTGGACTCTCATTCTGATGGCACCCATTCATTGGTGAGCAAGTGATGTAATGCTACATGTCTCCAAATCTGATCCAATGACTAAACAAACAACCTCTTGAATGGCCCGAAGGGGAGTACATTTTCAGCAAAGTTTCATTTTTGGGTAAGTTACTCCTTTAACTTCATCAACACTGACAGGTGCAATAGTAACGACTCCCACAATAACCCCCTATGCATAAACTATGCTATGTTCATAAGAATGAATCACGTTTACCCAAGAACAAGGGGGCAAATGGGATGCACTAAGAGGGAAATGCATTGGAATGCCTCACGACTTTAAAGCAGAACAAACAATTTGTTCTCGTCTATTATCTGACCCTTTTCTCCTCTCATTGGGTAACAGGAGGTCACATGAGGTACCAAGCAGCCAATCCGGCTAGAGCAGCGATCCAGGCGGCCAATAGGACTTGACCGGAAGGATTTTTAAGCACGGTCATGGCCACTCGACAAATGTAAGACGATCCGCCGCTGGCAGCTGAAACATAACACATAAAATTAGTATATCAACAGTTTCATTTCTTAGGGTTTCGCAAAGGAATTGTAGGGGGTTCGTGAATTTATGAAAAGTTACGAACTAATACATTTGAAAATAAAATTAAAATAGATAATTAGGGCTGCATGATTAATCAAAATAAAATGGTAACAGTGATATAACTTAGCAATTATAAAACCAAAGTCTGCAATTTAAATAAGTATATAATAAGTATCTCAGTATATAGATACTTTCCACCAAAATAAAATGATAAAATTATTATAATTATCAAATTTTTTTTTTTTTTTTAGCATTACAATTGTTATTTACAACAGTAATACATTCTTAATTATACATGTCTTAATTATATAATTAGAGTTAAAATTAATAATAATAATGTTAATAATTATTTTATTTAAACTGTTTTAAAATAAAAACAATAAAAAATAAAACACTTACTAAAAAAAAATAAAAAAAAAAAGATTAAAATTGTATTGGTTTACTTGTATGTCATGTGACCATTCAGGGGGTGCATCAGGTAAGTATTTCACATCTAAGGGGTTCAACTGAGAAGTTTGTGAACCCCTGGTTTAAAGTGTAATTAAGGTGTGGATTAAATAATCTGGTCAAGCTACTTTACCCATTTTGGCTGCATAGTACGGACACTGGCTGATGTCTCCTTGCATCTCGCCATGAGCAGGAGCGGCATCCAAAACATCGTCCTGAAGGGTTTTTCCAACCTCCTCTAGTTCTCCAAAAATCTGCATGCAGCACAAAAGGACGTTTACAGTAAGAGATGACAGGAAACAGTGAGTGAGCACTGAGGAAATGACAAGCATTCAATGGAAAGCTCAGTGTCATGAGTGTGGCGTTACATGAACACAACACATTCAATTACATCTCACTGCAAACAATCAAACGTTTTCCTCAAAGGAAGCTGGCCAAATGTGAGATTGTCTTTTGACCCAGTTTTGTCCATTTAATTTCCGAGCTCGTCTGTAATCTGCTGTGAGGACAAAGTCTCCATCTGCTGACGGATGAGACTCAAGCCACACAGAGCAGCACAGACTCTTATCTTTAATCACACGCTCACTGGAGAGAGAAGTGATATTAACTTCAGTTGAACGGATCAGTCTAAT